AGGTTGGTAGTTGGGTCAGTTCTGTTTTAATCCTTGCTTTGTAAATGTGAATGTTCCACCACAACTGACATATTAGGGAACACTTGCAATTACATAAATTTTTTTATCATGATTTCATCTGTGAGAAACACTAGGTGAACAAAGAAAAATGCACCCAGCTGAACCAAGGCACATATGAATACACAAAAGGCTCACATACACAGCTCAAACATGTACCAGTGACCTCACTTCACTACCTGTGCTATGAGCCACACCCATACACATCTCCTATGACAATGTTCTATTCAATTTCCAAAAAACCCTCCCTCCATCACTTCACAATAAATTTAAAAACTACTCTGATGCCCACTACCACAAGTAAATTTCTGGATAATTTTCCAAGGTAAAGGTGCTATCGTTATTGTAGTATTTATGTATTCCTCAACCATTTAGCATATGTAAAAATGTATTATTATTTTTACTAAGTTCCTGTCTTTACATGTTTTTGAGTATAGTGCTCCTAATTCCTTTTCCCCCATAAGTCCTGTGATTTTTATTGTGCAATTCTGCACAGTACAGTGATTTAGGCACACATGTCACATTATTGCAAAATTGACTGTGCATGGCTATTTTAACCTAGACTCAAGCCCATTCTGCTAGACCAGTGGTCGGCAAACTGCGGCTCGCGAGCCACATGGGGCTCTTTGGCCCCTTAAGTGTGGTTCTTCCACAAAATACCACTTGCGGGCGCGCACATACAGTGTTGAAACTTCGTGGCCCATGCGCAGAAGTCGGTATTTTGTGGGAGAGCCACACTCAAGGGGCCAAAGAGCTGCATGTGGCTTGCGAGCCGCAGTTTGCTGACCACTGTGCTAGACTAATATCAGCAGAATTACCACATGTATCTTATAAATCTTACAGATTTCAAAAAATAAATATATACTGACTTATGGTTTTTAAGAAAACTCAAAACCACCCATCCAAAAGCCTCAGTGAAATTATCCAGGGCTTCTACCTTAATTATCCATAATGCTTTTGATAATTCTTGAGCTCATTTGACCTTTCCTCAAATAACTTACCTATTTTTACAAAACCCTAAGCGACTGGTCGACCGAATGTTGGACTGGTCGCTATGACGCGCACTGACCACCAGGGGGCAGAAGCTCAACACAGGAGCTGTCCCCTGGTGGTCAGTGCACTCCCATCGCAGGAGTGCTGCTCAGCTGACCAAGGGGCGCCAGACGCGGGGCTCACAGCTGGCGAGCACAGCTGTGGCGTACCAAGCAGCAGCAGCAGCACGGTGCCTGACCCACCTCGGGCTCCTCCCCGGTTGCCTGCTGCTTCCCACACTACTACATCCCTCGGGGGATGTCGGACTGCTGGTTTCAGCCTGATCCCCCGAGGGGTCCCAGATTACGAGAGGGGGCAGGCCAGGCTGAGGAACCCCACCAGTGCACGAATCCGTGCACTGGGCCTCTACTATATCACTGAAATCTGGGAATGATGGAATACAAGTACAAAGGATGGATATTATATAGCTCTCTTAACATGAGCTTGCTTAGATAATTGTGAAATAGTTTATTTTATTGGAAGAAACAAGACAACATTTTTAGGGCATTTCAAAGAAAACCAAGTGCTGCCATTATTCACTGAGTTCTAATTTTCAGAGCTAGAAATACCAGACTGCTGACTTTTTTCATAAATTTTTTGCTCATTTGTATGTATATTACCTTAAAAGTTCACAAGTTTCTTCTACTGAATAATGTGTGTGTGTGTATATATATATACATACACACATATACACACACACACATACACACACACACATACATATAACTTAATAGTCAATCTAAATATTGAGTGCTACCAAACACAGGCATTATTTATCAGCATTTTTAATTCTATTATTTGAAAAATTCTTGAAATATGAAATCTTCATTACTCATTTCTCCTTCCTTCAATATTATTACTACCATGTATTTTCATAAATTTTAGCATCTTGAAAAAATGTCATAAATTATCTAGATACTCCTAATAAATAAATATCTTGGGAATAAAGAGAGTCATCATTAGTTTATACATAAAGTTAACTGAGATTACTTTAACCAAGAATGTCAGAATTAAAAACTAAGGTCTGAATAATGAATATCCTTTAAAAATTTGGCCTATAAAAGTTATCCTTTATAATTTTAGAAATGCCTTGGAGAAAATATTGTGCTTTAACATTTATTTTCTTCAAAGTTTCCTCAAATTTTTATAACTTAGGTCAATAAATGTAGGAAAACATAGTTACAAGGTTGTGAGCTCAATCCCTGGTAGGGGGCATGCAGGAGGCAGTCGATAGATGTTTTGCTCTGACACTGATGTTTCTCTCTCTCCCTCTCCCTTCTTCTCTCTCTAAAATTCAATTGAAAACATTTTTTTAAAAATCACATGACAATTTCATTCTTGCTGCTCTAGCCAAAATTCTTCATTTTTCATTTCTCACTTCCTACATCCAATCCAACAAGCAAATTCTGTTGGCTCTACCTTCGAATGTATTCGTAATCTAGTCACTTCTCAGCCTTTCCACTATTACCATTGTGGCCCAGATCATTGCAATAGCATTCCAATTGGTCTCTGAACTCCCATTCTTGCATCCCTATTCTCAATATGGAAGCCAGTGGCTCCCTATCTCACAGAATAAAAGCCAAAGCCCTCCTGATGATCCACAAGGCCTTCGTGATCTGCTCAATGATGTCATCTCCTACTACTCTCCCCTTGTTCATTCCACTCCAGCCTCCCTGGCATCTATGCTGCTCCTGGAACATTCCAAGCATATTTCTCCTTTATACTTGCTATTCCCCTGGGTGCAAATCCTCACCCCTAGGTATCCACATGCCTGACTTCCATACTTTTATCAGGTCTTGACTCAAATGTCACTTAACAGGGAGGCATTCTTTGGTCAGCTTAGCTAAAATTATTCTTCCTTGATGCTTCCTATTTCCTATTTTTTTTCTTTGTACTTATCTCCATCTAGCACAGTATATATTTCACTTATTACTCTTGCTTATTGTCTATCATTCCTCAATAGAATGTAAGCTTCACAAGGGGAGAGAGCTTTGTATATTTTTTTCACTCTTGTGTCTTAAAGTGCCTAGAACAGCATGTGGCACATAGTTGTCATTCAATAACTATTTGCTGCATAAACAAATGGATTTTTTAAAAATTAAAAATCAATGAAAGCCACACAATATAACACAATAACATGTGCTGTGAAAAGTCATCAATAATCTATCTTCCTAATTATGTAAGAATCTTCTAATGACAGAAATATTACACCTCTTTTCACTTAGGGACTGGCATAGAATGTTACATATACAGCAATTATTCCATTTTAATATTTGACAGCATGAAATTTTGCTTAAAGACAAATCACTAGGAGATAAAAATAGAACAATAGAATAATGATCTAATTCAACATTAGATTGTCATGTAAGAAAAAAATGGCTCTAAAAGTAGTCTTTCCCCTTCTAATATTTATGAGCAATAGCTTTCAGTGCTAATTTAGGACATCCACTCCAAAAATGATCATGGTCTGCCATGAATCAAGACTTGTCCAGGACAGAAAGTGGAAGATTGGCTCTGGACTAAGCACCTTGGCCACCTCATCTTAGTTTGTCTTTGGGACTAGTACGTGGAATATTGGAGATATTTAACAATTTACGATATAGTTTTCTCTTCTTTAAAATGTTAACAGTTCTTCCGACTATGAATATATATTCTTTGTGGGTTAAAGCTTGTCAAAGGTTTCTAGAGTGACAATGATAGTCATCAACATAACACTGTGAATAATATTAGATAGCAAAGGAACTGAAAAAAGATGACTCTGAGCCAGTCCAAGTTACATAGAACACATACATGAAATACAAAAGGCTACAATATGGTTACACCCAGACAGGTTTACAATACAATTTATGCCAATACCTAAACTGGATTCAACACATGCTAAAGAAGTACAATGGAAATAAAATGAAAGGAAAATCTGATTTCTCTAAGTATGATTCCTTGGACAAAAGTGTTTGCTAATCTAACTAATTTCTAGAAAAGCAACAATTGTTATAGGATAAAAAGAAAAAGAAAATATTCAAATTCTGACCAAGAATTGAGTTCCATTTAAATTATGAAGAGAAATGAAGAAGAAACAAACAAGAAAAACTAAACCGATATTCAAAAACACATATTCACCAACATACAGACAATAGTTCTGACTTATCTACCTAGCAAATGTCTGTGACTAAATGTCTAGTTTCACTAAGCAAATAATAACATCAATGATATAAAGCACTTCCTACTATTCAAATCCTTTCATTATTTTATTTAATCTTAATTATGTTCCTTTAAAATTACCTGACCTAAATATCTATATATCCATTGGCAAGCATGCAAAATATGAAACAATATATTTGTTAGGAAACAGGGAAAGAGCTGCTTTGATGTTGACAATTTCTTTAGGGTATAACAACTCATAGGGGTTTTTTTATTTCTCTCTCTTGTCACCCCTTTAACCATAGTCCCAAATATACTTACATGAGATATGTAAAATTAGCTCAGCTATAGTAGCCTGATCTGACATTACATTACATAAGACAGAATCAGTAGCTTGAACAGGACACACACCACTCAATACAAAGTTTCCATACAATACTGGATCCCCAGTGAATCTCAGTAGTTCAACAAGATCACCTAATGGTCTTTCAAAATTTAAAGCCAAGCAATAAACTCAGAAACAATACACCATCCAACTTGTCTAGGGCTGAACAGCAAACTTATGAAGCTTAGATAAATTTCATCTCTTTAAAATAACTTTGCTGCCACTTGGTTACGAAGAATAAAACTTTCTAATGACTTCTAAATCTTGGTTAACATATCAATGCGCTTCCTTAACGGGAAATACAGGATGTTTTGTTTTATTGTAACACTCAACAAGTCCATAAATTACCAGATAAAAGCTAGCAATTTCTTTTCTTTTATTCGCTTACCCAATTTAGTGGTGCCCTCTGGTGGGTACTCAGGAAACTGACCCTCGGAAGGGACACTGACAGTTCTTCTCAGGCATCTCCCTTTGGTGGAATCGGCCTGCTGCTCCTGTCCTCCCTCCGTGGGTATCTAGTTAACCAAAAGAAAAAGAGATGAAACCTAATACTGAGTTCACCATAACAACTTTCCGACTGAATAATGTTTTCAGTTAATAAAGACAGGAGTTTGTAATCATCAGAGCAAAGTAGAAGAAATGTAGAAATAAAGTATACACAATGGTAAAGTATTACCAATCCCTTTGCAGGAAGCTTTTCTTTAAAAAGAAAACCAAAAGATCAGGAAAGGTGAGTATGTAAATTAGCTTAGTTGAAATATGTACAAATCTTATCCAGGTGTGCATCTGTTTAGGGAGTTCAGAAAACAAAACAAAACACCCACACAAATAAAAGATTCTTTTACATAAGACACTGGTTCACAAGTTCCAATTCTGCCCAATGCTCAATCAGGTAAATGGAAATAAAAGTCAACCAGAAAGATTTAGCTACAACATTCTCTTAAAAGAAGGTTTTGCTAGATAAAAGTATTAAAATTACCCAACTTTTCTTTAATTTTAGAATTAAGCACTTATCTATCCTATCTAATAATAGACAAACATGGTAATTAACCATACCTCCGCTACACTTCCCATTGGCTAATCAGGGTGATATGCAAATTAACTGCCAACCAAGATGGCGGCCGGCAGCCACCAGCTGAAGTGAACATGAGGCTTGGTTGCCCCGGTGATGGAGGAAGCCAAGGTTCCCCGCCTGCCGCGGCCCGGCTCTGAGCTCCGGATGCAACAATGTTGCAATTATAGAAGCTAAACAAACCCCAGATACCTGCTTTCAGCCAGCCGGCCTTGGAGCTGGAGCTGCAACAAAGTTTCAATTACAGAAGGTAAATAAATCCCAGCATAAAAACAAAAAAAAACAAAAAAGGAGAGACTGGGAGCTTCCGTTGCAGACTTGGCCTGCCTGAAAACAGCCCTCAGCCCCTCATTCAGGCTGGCCAGGCACCCCAGTGGGGACCCCCACCCTGAAGGGGGTGCAGGCAGCCTGAAAACAGCCATCAGCCCCTCACCCAGGCTGGCCAG